AAAGAATAAAGCTTCATTGTTGTTTGGAATGTCTTAGTAGTTTATCATGGAGACAGAATTATTCATATTGAAGAATCATAAAAACCTATTGAACGGTTGTTCAACTATAAAGAAGCCCAAAAGTGTATTTGTAGCTATTTAATCTATCAATTGAACCTAGCTCAAGAGGAAATACAGGCTGAGATAAAGAAAAGGTAGAGATTACAAATATTTCCAGATAATTTATCTCCTATGGACTATTATAATGCTGTTCATAAATGTCCTTAGTTTTGTGGCCCTATTAATTGATCTCTTCAACCAGAAGGATGCTTCATTCCTTTTTTTGCTTAGCCCTATAATGAAAATATGACACGTTCAGTTTCAGTAAGTTCATTATTTCATTCAACAATTATTAAATATTAGGAACTAAACATACAAAGATGAACTCTTTTCCCTGATTGCTCATTCATTCATTCGACTGTTTGCTCTAATGAACACACATATCTTCTTGTAATGGACTTGTCTGCCACACCTATGGGTCACAACACTTGGTGTAAGGAATAGGCCATGAGCAAGACACACATGCTTGAATACAATAAAGTCATGGAGTATTGGAATTGTCAGTTGAGGGCTCTCAGAAGTCAGCATGGAAGAGTCCATGAAAGCTCAGAAGGTATATAATTTAGCTTTGGCATGGGATAGGGGAGGAGGCAGAGCACAGACTTCCCCAAAGAGGTAAACCATGAGCTGATCTTTGAACAATGAATAGAAATTAGCAAGGCAATGAATACTGAGGAGGCTGGAAAGTGGAGCAGCATAACTTTGTCAGATATCAGTTTTCTGATCCTGTGGTCCACCTAGCTGAGAATACTACCAGGCTCTCCTTAATACCACAGCTGGGAACGTCTTACACGATTGCATCTTTTTCTTACCTCATTTTATGCATTAATAGGAAAGCAGTCTCATCTGTGATGCTGGGGCCACCCTACAATCACACGATGGAAACCCCTGCCACCTTCTACCTTGTGGGCATCCCAGGTTTGCCATCTTCACATCTTTGGCTGGCTATCACACTGAGTACCATGTATACCATAGCCCTGTTAGGAAACACCCTCATAGTGACTGTAATCTGGATGGATTACGCTCTACAAGAGCCCATGTACTATTTCCTGTGTGTTCTGGCTATCGTGGACATTGTTATGGCCTCCTCCGTAGTGCCCAAGATGGTGAACATCTTTACCTCAGGAGACGGCTCTATCAGCTTTAATGCTTGTTTCACTCAGATGTATTTTGTCCATGCAACCACAGCTGTGGAGACAGGGCTGCTGCTGGCCATGGCTTTTGACCGCTATGTAGCTATCTGTAAGCCCCTACACTACAAGAGAATTCTCACACCTCAAGTGATGCTGGGAATGACTGTGACCATCACTATCAGAGCTGTCATAACCATGACTCCATTTAGTTGGTTGGTGAGTCATCTACCTTTCTGTGGCCCCAATGTGGTTCTTCATTCCTACTGTGAGCATATAGCTGTGGCCAAGTTGGCGTGTGC